CGTTCGCAGCCCGCGACCAAATTGTTTATTAAATCGCTTATCAGGGTGCATTTGGCGACCGACGGGATAGGCAAATGCCCGCTCAGGGCGAGACATCTCGCTCTGAGACTGTTTATACAGAGCCACGCTCCCTTGATGCGCCTGCATCGCGAGAGTGCGGTGCTTATCTGGACAAAGACCTGGTACGGAGGCGACTGCGTGACTGGTTCCTCGCAGACTGTGGGGAGAAATGGTGGATATAGTCCCGGAAAGCGAGATGAGATGAACAGAACAACGGAGAAAATTAAAGTCTGGACTCACCGTTGTACCACGAATAACTGAGCGTGAACAGCATCATGACCAGGTTGACGATCAGCAGTATCTTTAGTATTTTTCCGGGAGTCGACATAAAGTTGGCACACAGATTGAGCGCAACGGCAATACCTTGGTTGTGGATGACATTTGCAGTCATCGGTATGACTCGATCCGGGAAACAGCCGGTTGGAGCGGCGGGCGGAGGTACGTGTTTGTTATCGTCCATTCTGGATGAAAATTTGATTCTCGAAATAGATGAAGCCCGTTAAGTAGGCCTCAGAATTGAGAGAGAATTCCGAGGGAAGATGCGAAATTATCATTCAATCAGAGATATCGGAAGCTGTGATAAAAAGTCGCGAACATTTGGTCTGCGGCTGATAATCGGAAATCCGAAGATTTTAATCGCATGTCGGTCTCGATGTATAATGCCGAGACTGATGTCTACATTTCGCGCACTTCATTGCTTGATTACTAACAGCACTGAGGGATCCCATAGATGAGAAAATCTCAAGTGAGACTTAGAGATTGAGAATCAGCACCATGTCTGGAAGTCGACATAACGTCTCTTCTAGCCTCACGCGGAGATGGTTTAGATAAGTGGATGGAAGTCTAGCTTAGATAAGCTAAGCGAGTCAATGTCATGTATGAGAAGACAAGGCCCGAACCATAAAAGTGTTCGTGGAGCGGATGAGAATAATGATTTGTAATTAGAGGCAAAGGGTTGACTCATCAAGCCCCTGTTTTTCTGTGTAGGGGGGAGTTGATGGGCTAAAGTAGCTACCCGGAAATGACCATGGGTTGACTCACGGTGTCCAGACCGGACGCTGGAACAATGACTTCAGTATTCTGTAACTTAGTGTAAGTTCAGTGACCGTCATAATTACTGTGGACGGGTTACTGACTTGCCCCTTCCCTTCCATTACTATATAAGGCATAATAAAGATCAGTACTAGTGGGGGAGCCTTTGGTATTTCACACCAAGCAGTGTTCGTCTTTATTAGCCGTTGTCCCAGTTGTATCAAGCACGGCATCGATTCGAGCTCACCGCAGCCAGAGCTACCGTATATCTCCAAATAAAAGGCACCCCCAAAATACAAGACACTGCCGGAAGTACTATAATAGAAGACACCCCCGAATAAAAGACACCCCCAATAGTAGGCATCCCCTTAATACAGGACCCTGTCAAAAATTCTATAATAGAAGACACCCCCAAATAGAAGACACTGACTGTCCTGCATTTCCGGGGTGTCTTCTACTGTGGAGGGTGTCTTCTGTTTGGGGGTGTCTTCTATTTGAGGGTGTCTTCTGTTTGGGGGTGTCTTCTATTTGAGGGTGTCTTTTATCAAGGGGGTGTCTCCTATTCGGAGGTGTCTACTTTTGGGGGTTGTCTTCTTTTATAGTAATCCTTGCGAGTCACTTATATTTTGGGGATGCCTTTTATTTTGAGATATACGGTAGTAGGCTAGATAGCCGAGAATACCTATCATTCAGGTTGGCTTCAGAGTCCACAGGCGTCATGCAAGTCTACTGAAACCTAGAGACGCCGAGTCTGAGACCGGGATTGAAGACCCATGGCAAGACTTGGGACTACAACTCGCGCTCACCCTGCCGTGCAGCACGTCCCAACACGATTGTCTCCCTGGAAACGAAGATAACACAGCTCGACAAAAAAAAACTTTTTTCGCGTTACAAAGAAAGTGAAAGCTATTTCGGGGTAAACCGGGGGCGCTGAATCCGAATTTCTTAACAGATTTTCTCCATCAGGTCCAGTTTTTTCGAAATTTCACTTTTTCGATTTTTCGCCATTTTTCGTCTTTAAAAAATTCTAGCTCCGCCCCTGAGTGGACTAGATCGATGAAACTTTAGTGGCGGATAGAGCTCGGTTGGGGCTATACCTGGCAGAGTTTTGGTGCGATTCGTAGCAGTGGTCTCTGAGCTAGAGCCATCGGAAACTAAAAAAAGATGAAAAAAGTGGGAGAGGGACCTCTTAGAAAGCACTTGACGGAAAAACTAGGACCTTTGAAGCGGTCTGACCTAGACAATTCGATAGAGGAGGCTTTTACGAGCATTTTGAGACCAAGCAGAGCAAAATCGGTCGATCCATTCAGTTTTTATTCGCAAAAAACATTGAAAATTCGAAAACGCCTAAAAGTCGGAATTCGTCTATGCCGACTTTTAAGCTTCGAATACATAGCCCAGAAGCTCCGTCCCGTGAGTAGACAGAAACTGCTAGCGGGAGTGCTCAACGGGCCGCTGATCCGGCGACTCATGAAGGACCCAAACTTCATCGAATCGATCAACCCGGAGGAAGCCGCCGCCTGGGAATCCTTCGTCTCAGTCGCCACGAACTTCTTGGGGAACACGAGAGCTTCCAACTACGTGGAGTTGGTGCAGAGACTTGTAGAAAGCTTCCGCATTCTCGGATGTAGAATGAGTATCAAGGTTCATTACACAGCTCGACAAAAAAAACTTTTTTCGCGTTACAAAGGAAGTGAAAGCTATTTCGGGGTAAACCGGGGGCGCTGAATCCGAATTTCTTAACAGATTTTCTCCATCAGGTCCAGTTTTTCCGAAATTTCACTCTTTCGATTTTTTGCCATTTTTCGTCTTTAAAAAATTCTAGCTCCGCCCCTGAGTGGACTAGATCGATGAAACTTTGGTGGCGGATAGACCTCGGTTGGGGCTACACCTGGCCGAGTTTTGGTGCAATTCGTAGCAGTGGTCTCTGAGCTAGAGCCATCGGAAACTAAAAAAAAGATGAAGAAAGTGGGAGAGGGACCTCTTAGAAAGCACTTGACGGAAAAACTAGGACCTTTGAAGCGGTCTGACCTAGACAATTCGATAGAGGAGGCTTTTACGAGCATTTTGAGACCAAGCAGAGCAAAATCGGTCGATCCATTCAGTTTTTATTCGCAAAAACATTGAAAATTCGAAAACGCCTAAAAGTCGGAATTCGTCTGTTCCGGCTTTTAAGCAGAAGCTTCGACCGTTGGGCCGTTGGAATCTTCCGTAAAATCAGCGAGGTCGATCAATCCGCATCAAATCGAGCCGTCAGCGATTGTCTGGAATGTGGTCGATCAGGGGCTTCCCTCATGAGGTTCCAGCAATAGTCTGCCATCATAGAGTCATCCTACCTCCCTTGGTATCGCTCCTCCATGGTGCTGATGTCTTGATGGAACCTTTCGCCTTGCTCGCCGCTCATTGACCCTAAATTCTCAGGGAATAGATCAAGGTGGGCGTGGAGAGAATGAACCTTGATACTCATTCTACATCCGAGAATGCGGAAGCTTTCTACAAGTCTCTGCACCAACTCCACGTAGTTGGAAGCTCTCGTGTTCCCCAAGAAGTTCGTGGCGACTGAGACGAAGGATTCCCAGGCGGCGGCTTCCTCCGGGTTGATCGATTCGATGAAGTTTGGGTCCTTCATGAGTCCCCGGATCTGCGGCCCGTTGAGCACTCCCGCCAGCAGTTTCTGTCTGCTGACGGGACGGAGCTTATGACCGAAACCTCTTGGCCGAAACCGCTTGACCGAATCCGCATGACCGAATCCGCTTCACCGAAGCCGCTTGACCGAAGCCGTTTGACCGAATTAGGCTCCTCCCAGAGATAAATTTTAGCTCATAAGTTCTCTCAGAAACTTCACATGAATTCATTCTCGAGACTTCATCTCCACACTTGACTTCGGATGTCGTGAGGGAAACGCCTTCACCGACTGCGTGCAACAAACAATAATAAACAAAGCAAGAAATAAACAATATCCCGGAATCTGTATGATCTGAGCCTTCACTCAGCTCACATAAGCTGAAACAGAGTTTCTCAGTTCATAAGTCCGTTCCCGAATTGATCGCAATGGAAGTTCAAATCATGTCGTCTTCGAAAGGGGGGCTCCTATACAGGATCAACGATTACCTCTATTCCGTGGAAAAGAAGAGCATCGAAGCACTGTATTGTCGATGCATCCGGAAGAAGGAGCTCGGTTGCGGTGGGAGGGCGATAATCTCGAAGGTGCTCATCTGTGTTCGTTCGATTCTCTGGAGGGAGAACATCTGTTTCCGTGATCTCTTCTGTTTACATGCGTCCTCGCCTCACCTCCTCGCTCCTTTCTGGGCACGCGATTATTTAGCTACTTCTCATGTATCTCATCATTAGATCCCGTACCCAGATGGTACTTCCGGAGTGTGTGTAACGGGAATCGCGAGAGAGGGCGACTATGAGCCCAATGCAATAGGGAAGCGATCACGCGTCCGGAAATCCTTCCTCGTTCCAATTCACACTTTCCGGACGAGCCTGTTCCTACGACAAGGCTCAGTCTTTAACGCGATCAAATATCGGAGGGAGCTCGAGGGGGGAGTCCGAGAAATCGATTCCTCTAGAGCCTGATCGCGAACTCTCCGTAGCGTATCATTTGCGTCAATATTTTACCCCCCTTGATTGACATTCCGTCTGCTTATCTTTGAAGGGATCCGACCCAATCGTTCAGAGGACGTCTGGTTCCCACTGTCACGAACCAGACACTGAGGAAATCATCA